TAACTGGACCATGCTGCTAACAGGACCATGTTGCTAACAGGACCATGTTGCTAACAGGACCATGTTGCTAATGCCCTTTTGCACTGCTCCTACTCAGCCCGCCACGGAAATGTCCCTATTCCACCAGTACTTTTTAGCTGATTCGGGACCTTTTTTCGTTACCGCTCTGGTGGGACCGAGCGAGCTGAGTCGAGCTGACTCCAGACCGAAACGAATGCAGGACACTGATTGGTCACTGGATCTCAGAAACTAGTGGTGTGCGATTCTGCTGAATTTGGTATCGATCGACACCAAGTAAATGCAGGTCTCGCCGATAGTGATATGATCATTTTAAATAATTACGCTGAATTTCGATGACGTTTAAGTGTTTTGTGATTTTTCCATTGGGTCATTTATTAGCTCAAACCCAGGATAGAATTAGGCAAAGTTTATAAGTAAATAAAAAATACTTTATTATAATAAAAGTTTTTTCTGAAATTTTTTTTGGTGAGCCGAGACGGTTCTTCTCATCCTGAGCATTTCATTGCATTGTTGATCTTCATATGCAAAACGATAAATAAAGTAAACAAGGTAAATGTTTCCACAGGTAATCCTGTGGTGAGAAAACTGCTCCAGCTGTCTCAGGTTTGAAGATGAAAACTCTCAAAGGGTCAAAGAGTTTAGTGTCAAAGCTCTGCCTCTTCTTCCTGCTCTCAAACACAGCAGCTCCACCCGCTCTGTCCTCATGTCTCCTTGTTCCCTCCTCTTCAGGTGGTGTCTCCACCAGGGGCTGGATGTTGGAGCTGATTGGCTTCAGTCTCTCTGCACAGACACGTGATTTCTAGATCAGAGTTCAGTTTCACTTCTCAGGAAGAACTCACACAGTCGCTGACTAAAACACAAAATGGCACAGAAAGGAGATCAGCTGGACCCAGAAACTATCTCCTGCTCGATCTGTTTGGATCTACTGAAGGATCCGGTGGCTCTTCCCTGTGGACACAGCTACTGTATGAGCTGTATTAAATCCCACTGGGATGGAGAGGATCAGAAAGGAGTCCACAGCTGCCCTCAGTGCAGGAGAACCTTCACACCGAGGCCTGTCCTGGAGAAAAACATCATGTTATCTGTCCTGGTGGAGCAGCTGAAGAAGA